AAAAAAAAAAAAAAAAAAATGGCATTCATAGAAAATAATGCGTGCCTATAAAAATAAAACACATCTCTCACATAATAAATATAATTTTTATTTCAAATTATTCATATTTTACATCATCTCGGTAACTCGATGTTTCGATAGGTCAATTTTTTTATTTCAGTCACTTGAAACTTTAAGATAAGGAACTTTACTGTATCATGTTTTAAAACGTATATATATATTAATAAGGTATTTAAATACGGCTTAATATGTAAATATTTGTTACTCACAAAAAAAAAAATTGTCTTATTTTGTATGATTTTTTTTATGGTGTTTGTCATAAAATATGGTTTTAAAAATTGTAAAAATAGGTGCACATTGAAATCAGATTTGAAAAAGGTGAACACGGTGATGGTGATCCATTCGACGGACCTGGTGGAACTTTGGCACATGCTTTCTTTCCAGTTTACGGGGGTGATGCTCATTTTGATGACTCTGAAAAATGGTCAATAGGTTCATTCAAAGGTAAGATTGTATTTTAAATTCAATTAATTTAAGATTGTAATAAAATAGGTACCTATAGTTACAGTTGTAAAATTTAATATTTAAGATTGTATTCAAAAATATATAATTTATTCTTTCAAAATAACAACGCAGTGAAATATTTGTGTATTAATATCTATATGTAAAACTGTTAATTATTCCATTTCTGATGCTGCAATATATTTTATAATTAAATAATATATTACATAAGAATTTTTAATTTCTTTGAATTGTAGTTTCAACGATTTTATAGAAAATTGATCGCTAATTTTATTACTATTAACAGAATATTAAAATGACTAAAAATATTGTATAAATCACTTGTTCGTCAAATCCAATTTAAAATCTACTATAGGAATATGTAAAGTTGCTGGTGAATTATTAATTACTAAAATTAATTATCCTTAAAAGTTTTTTCGAAAAAAAAAACATTATTGTAAAATAAATAGCTTTCYTCCCTTCACTTTGAATATAACTATTTTGCTTTTAAAAATCACCTTTGAAAGCTTTCTATTTTAACCAAAGATCTTTTTAAAGTGATACAGCTATTGAAAAATTTTTAAAAGGATATTTTCAACGTAAAAAAAAGGTCTTAATTTAAAAAAAAATAAATGAATGAAGATTTTTATAAATTATTGAAACATTGAAATCTATAATAAACGTATACACATCCTTAGTGAGGTTGACAACACAGGTTGATTA